AAATAAATAAATAAAGAGCTAACCCAGGCAAATGGAAAACTTTTTATTTGTAGAGATCTTGTGTAGCACAAGGTGGCAGTAATGCTCCACTGTTTTACTGTTTTTGCATTCACTTTTAATTGAGCAAGCATGAAGTTAGAGCTTCAGAATGCAGCTGAAATATTTTTTTTTTTTCCTGTGGAGACAACTTCATCTCCCCTCACCTTGCTGTGTTATCCACATTATTCTCACCTCAAATCCAAAACACAGCACTGTGCCAGCTGCTCACATGAAAATTAACAATCACAGCCAAAACCAGGACGTGACGTTACCCTGTGTTGGTTTTTCCTTTTGCTGAATATCATTGCTAATAACTCATTAATTGATTTCCATTAGGGCTTTTCCTGAATTTGTTAATTCCATAAAGCAGCTGCTGAACTATTTTCATTAAAAATATGCTTTCATTCATTCTAAGATAGAATTCATACTACTCTCATGAATAGATCTGGGATTATTTACTTGAAAAATATCTGCTTGCTATATGAAGAATGGGAAAGAGATACTAGAGTGCCCATAGATGCTAGACATTGCAGTAGTAATCCTTATCTTGGCACAGTTTCATACCCTTTTGTCAAATTTGGTCAGAAAAAATGGAGTGCATCTGATTACAATACCATTGCCCGTTGTTTTCCTTCCAAGCTACAATTCAGTATTGGTTTTAAAGCCCATATATGAAATGTCTCTGCCTGTATTGCTCAGATAGCAGTGTTTGAAGGTATTACAATTTCTGTGTTTCTGCATGAACAGACACCCTACTTCATGGCCACGGCTAGCAGGTTTGGGTTATTTCTCCCCTGAAAGGGCTGTGGGGAACAAAGCTTCAGTGCATTGGCAGACAGTTTCTCAGTGTTAGGCATGTCTCATTCTTGTAGATGAGAAAGAAAACCCAATGTTCAGCAGTGTCAGTCCCACCAGATGTCACTCTTGGATTGCAGGAGAAAGGTGTATGAGCAAACTCCCATTCTGTCTGTGAAACTGCTTTTCTCTCTCATTGCTGTGATGCTGCCTTGATGTGATCTTCTTGTGTTCTGGTACAGTGTTTGCTTCAACTGCAAGTGTTGGGGGAAGAAACAGGGATGACACTCTGTGGCTGAGTGTGCGACGTGTAACTGCACAGCATCACTGAGTTTTAGTACATATTATAGAGATGGCCTTTTCAGGTAATTCCACAGAGTGTGAAACAGAATTACCAGGACTTACAAAGCATCTGTAATATCCATTTATTTATCTGATTATCTTTATAAGCTAGCAATTGTATTTCTATGGTTATTTTGACGTGCTGTTAACATTTAATTCTTATTATATTTCAGTATGCAGCACCTTCTGAAAGTAGAAGTGATGCCACCCTCATCCTTCCTCATGGCACACACTGAGGACTGGACCTTGGGTTTCTTGCCTTGGGTTTTGTCACCAAAGATTAGTGAATGAGTCAGTGACAGTCTGTAATCTGGAACACTATTGAAAAATTGCCTGTTGTCCTGTTATGTCCTGTAGCAGAAGGAGAGCCCTTAACAGTTCTCAGTGTGAGAGGTCTGGATTCTGCAGACATATTATAGCCCTGTTATAGAGGAGCAAGCATTTGCTGGATTTAGGCTGAGTGGAAGAATGTCTTTCTCCTGAATGATGATTGATTTATTATAATTATTTTTAATAAATTAAAAATTAAAGATTTTTCTATGAAGAAATGGTATACTTTTACCAGCTTACTTATGAGTTGCTCTGTATAGCCTTAAGCACTGCCTAGCAATGGACATTACATGTTGTTGAATAATATCAAAGCTTGCATGGGTGTTTCTGACATACATAAGTGCATCCATATGTGGGTTGGTTGTTTTTTTCTTGGTATATGATAAGAAAGTTGCATCACTGCTCTAAAAGCCAGACTGTAGCTATTAAGCATATGCTACAGCTCAAAGTTTCCATTAATTTAGTATAAAATGCATTGCTGGAGAATATATTCCTATATTAGCAGGAGATTCCCTCTTCTAAGCAGAAAACAGGATTTGGGATCTCATGTTTTGTATCACTTCCATGTCTTGACACCATCTTAAAAAATACTGAAGTGCTTTTTGCTGAAGTTCCTCTTAGTCTCCTCTCCAAATAACTTCACAAACTGTTAGGTTCTAAATTAATAACATGGTCCTCATGGTGCCAAAATATAATGAGAGAAAGACATTCACTCTCCAGGCTGTTTCCTCCCTGGAGTGCAGTGCATCTTGTGCAGGCTCCTGAAAGGAAGTCCGTCCTCAGAACTTTGTGTACTGGATCAGGACCTGTGCAGGTGCTCTGAATCAATGGTTTGAGCCTTTGAAGCAGAAAAATGTTCACTCCCCTGTCATGCAGGTGGCAGACCCACTTTATCTGCAGGAAAAGACATCAGGGTTGTATCTGTGTTCCTAAAGGAGGGTAATGCTGCAGAATGCTTGGGTTTGCTGGGCCTGAGCTAAATGTGTCTATTAGCCAGTAATTAATAGGGAATATGTAGTAGTAGGGACTTCTGCTTGCTCTTGGCAATATGTGGTCAGATCACTGGCTTGTTATTAGCCAGTATTATGCTTTATTATTTACTAATGCAACTGCCCCACTGGATGCAATGAGCTAGTAGATATACCATATGCTAAAAAGGACACCTGCTAGAGCTTTAAACTGTGCCTTAGTTTTGCTGTGTGGGTCCTCTTTGGGATGATTTTGTGCAGAAAGGCATGTGCATGGTCCTTTGTTCATAGCACTATGGTTGAGTTGAGTCTTTTAGGTCTCGAAGGTAGCAGAGGCTAGTTCTATTTCTTCACCATGCATTTGGCAGCCAGAACGTTTTCTTCTGTCTCCCTCTGTAAGTTGTGACTATCACTTTCAGAAAGGCTTGCACTGAGCGTGTCATTATTTAGAGTGCTGTTTGAATGACACCTGTTGTATACGCATTGTTGGGTCAAGGCAATCAGTGAATTCATGATGCAGACTTAACCCTGTCTTCCACCAAAGCAATTAAACTCCAGAAATGCACAGCTGTGGCATCAGTCAGCGATGTCAAAATTTGCTTGCATAGTAGTGGATAAACTGATCTTTTCTCTCGTGACTTGCATGTGTGCTCTTTTTTTTTTTTTCTTGGTGGAGTCTGAGAGCTGGATACTTGTCAAATGCTATAACATGAAGTTAAGTATTTGACTTGGGGAGAATGACACATTGACACTTTTCATAATAATTGCTTCTTACACTGGAAATCTCCAGCTGTTTTGGTGGAAATAACATGATGTGACTGTGACAATAACACAGGCTCAAAGCCCACAGACTGAAAATAGAAATGTGCAGATCCAATTTTAGTTGAAAAGTAGGGGCATTAACCTTCATTAAACTGATCATAAAGATGGCTAGATATGGAAACTAAAGGAATCTCAAGAAAATTCTTCCAGTGGCTTACACATGCATTGGATGACTTTATGAATAAAGATTATTGTAGTTTCTGAAACAGTAAATATCAGAAATGCCCTGCAAAGAAAAGTAGGTTTATATCATCTTTTTACTTTAAGGAATCCAAATTGCAGGATCCTGTATCCCAAGATCACCTCATCCTATGGCAGCAACAGAGTTCTCAGGTGCTCTTTCCCTTTGAGGAGAGTGTATGACCAGTGCCAAGTTGAATGGAAAGTCATCTGAAGGTTATTGTGTGGGGAGACAGCTCTGGGGTGGATCTCCCTTTCATGCATTTCCTATAAGCAAAATCACTGGTGTAATAACAGTCATTAAAGTTAGACCTGCATGGGGAATAATTATTTTTAATACTTTTTGCCTTAATATTGTGAAATATTAAAGATTGAACAGTGAGAGTGCTTCTAATGAGACTATAATTATTCTGTGAAAGGCAGAATATGGTAGCTGTATTTCATTATCTGTTTCTTTGGAATTAGTGCTTCTATCCCCCCACAATAAAAACAGGATGAACGGACGTCTGCTAAATCTTTAATGTCTCTAATGGCCTCTTGATCATTTGCATTTCAGATCTTTCTTCATACACAGCAGCAATCTGTGGTCTTGGAACATGCAACTGATTGAAGCTGAAGGTGCTGCCTATTATTATTATCAAACCTTCCCCCCTTACACCACCCATTCCGTTGTAGGATACAACAGAGAAGTCTGTTGTGATAATTCTGGAGATTCACTGCTGAGAACTCAGCATCAAGAGGATACCAGCTCTGTTTAATTGTGTTCTAAAGGGAATATGTATTTATTCATCTTTCTTTTTGATGACAGGAATTCAGAAAAATCATTAAAAATACTTGTTGAAGACTGTAGAAAGACAATGACCTGTAGTCATTGTCCATAGTGTTCAGACAATGATCATAGAAGTGTCATTGTGTAACTGGATGAAGAAAATCATTTGATTTGCATGTGTCTCATAGGTGGTGGAAGAAATACTGATGGAGCAGCTGCTGAAAATAACAGCTCCTGGGACTGAAGGATATTATTAAGCCATAATCCACCTACAAGTCAGCTGGTTGGAAATGCAAGGTACAGGGACTTGAGTAGAATCCAAGCTTTGTGAATATGGCCCTTAGAGGAATCTGTTCATAAAACAAGTTACTTTCTCAGCCTGCATCATGCTGAGATTCATTGTGCCACGTGACACTATGAATGGTAAATCAAGGAATAGTTTTCTTATTTGTTGTCAAGGTTACTTTAGTAAGTGTCTGTGTTTGTGCAGAATATCCTAGTCTGGATTAAATCCTATCACATGGCTTTGAAGAAGACCTGGAAGGTAGTTAACTACTGTAACTGATTTGTTTGAATTTCTGCCTGTGATCAGAGCATATATTCTCCTTACATTTTTCATTGGTAGCTACTGAAAAGTTTATTTGCTTTTAGTCAATTTTAAATGAAGTAACTTAAGGACCATATTGTGGAAAGCTAATAAAACTCTGGGCTATAACGATGTGGGGGAAGTATTAGGTCAGGGCTTGAACTGGTGATTGTGAAGGGCTGTGGCTGCCCAGGGAGCATAGGCAAACTGTTTGCAGCTGTGCTCCCCACCAGACCAGAGGGGGTAGACTCAGGGTAGAGCTCCTATAAGGGCAGCCACTGAAGGGAGAGCATCCCTTGGACTGAGGATGCTTCTAGAGAGGGAATGCTGTGTGTCCAGAAAGCCTCTTCACCAGTTGGGTGAGTTTGGCTTTTCTTTCTGTGTATGACTATTGGCCTACTTGTGAGTTCTCTATCTGGTATCGCCAAGAACCTGTCAAAAGCAATTTTGCTTCTTCATAGAACAGAACAGATGACCCTTTTTGTTAAGGCAGGGAAAGTGGTTGTAAGCTATTTATGGAACATAAGTATTTTGTATCTTGAGGTCTTTATCTTGTTATCTTGCTTTGGGGATACCAAGCAGGTACTGTGCTTGCTAATTTTTCTACTAGGACAGCAGCTTGTCTCTTTCTGGGCCATACCAGATTCTGCTAGATGTATCTTGGGAACCCTTTCATATTATTTCTCCTTTTTCATGCTTTTGTGAGATCACCGAGGATGGATCTGGTACGTATCTAACATAAATCCTCTGCTTTCACTAGATGTTGGAACTAGAAATTCTTCTGCTTAACTATGTAGAACTTGTAAGTGTATACTAGGAGTTGGCTGGTTGCAGTTCAAAGATTAAACTGGTCTTATATCATCTTCTTTAAGCAGAAAGAAAAAAGGAAGTTAATACTTCCCTGTCATGTTGACATAATTTTTTTTAATGTCACAGTCATTCAAATTTTGCTGTAACTTTTTATGTTTAGAGACTGCATGTTGAAGTGTAGTGTTGTGGTCATTCTAAAATGTATTCAGTTCCCCTTGTCTCGAGGAAAGGAACCTGTTATTGACTTCACAAACTTCACTGTCACTTCCAGTTATCACGAATAGCTGTTCAAAGCCACTGCAGGTAGGTTATTCCTGCTTCTAGTGGCTCCAGGTGATTGCTAAGCTTGCCAGCCAAGTCTGTAGTGCCTATGCCCTCATCTACTGTGGAGAAAGACCAGGTGTCAGTGTTGCTTTGCAGCCTGCAGGCTTCATTTCAGTGCCAGTCACAGGAAGGTGATATGCCTGTTGGAGCCTGGCAAGGATAGATCAGGTGCCCTCAAGTGTCTCTGTTTTTCATCCTTAAAAGACTTGGGGTTTTCTGTGTGGTTGCTTATCTGCCTGGAGGGTTAACTCTACTGTGGGATGGAAATGAGTGGTGACATCCCTATTATTCAAGACTATGAAGTGATCTGGACAGCAGTATTAATACATTGGACTCAGTTTGTCTCACTGGATCTATGTGTCATAGGTAGAAATATATGGGTTGAAAGGGTCCAGCTAATATGTGACCTAGATAAGGAGGGAAACACTCCAGCAGGAATGCTGCAGTCATTGTGTTACTGGTGAGATGCATCTCTGTTTCCCTCACTGTAACTTAGACTGGGGGCTTTTCTGTAGACGTGGGTGTCTCAATAACACTCCAGCATGGCTCTTCCAATTAGGAGATCTGTTCTGGCCTATCAGACAACTCCTTTGGCATGACACTATTGTACCTCAACTGGATTTTTGCAATTTATTTTTCTTGTGATTGTGTTTGCTTGGCTGTTAAGTACCTAAGTATCTGCATTTAAACGGTAGCTTTGTGACACCTTGTGTTCAGTGTGCTTCCTGTTTGCAATAGGTACAACAGGGTTGGTCAGCACTTGTCTTCATCTCTGAAGTGTGGATGTAAACACCGATACAAAAGAAAAAAATCATTGCTTACAACATTATATCCTAGGCAAAATAAGGTAGGAAACAAATCTGAAAAATACCAAAACATCTCCCATCTGTTTTTCTCTTCTGCCACTAGGTACTGTTGTTTTGAATTGCATGGAGGGTTTTATATCCTAGATATAATTAAACAGACTGCTTCCCTGTAAGATACTTACTGCAGTTTGTCACCCCATGCAGCACTGCAGTGATTTCTGTACCTCAGTTATACAGGCACCTGCTGAGTTGTTGGAGCACAAACAGTCTGCCAGGTGGCTGCCCAGTGTCTGATTACAAAAGAGTAGCATGGGTTTCTGTCATATGTATATGAAAACATAAATCAGGCAAGAGATGATGAAGAAATATTCTTTGCCTGAGTTGGATGCAGAAATAGGAAGATTAGTGACTAGATTGGAACTTTGCCACAAATGTTTCTGCACGTGTCCTCCTTGGGATGTACGGTACATCCTTCTGTTGAGCTTCTTGCATCAGTAGTGGAATAAGACCCGTCCCTCGTGACCTGGATCAGAGAGATGTGAATTATTATATCTCCCATCTCTGTTAGCTAGCATTGCTGAGGATTGGTTCAAGTAGAAATTTCATTTTTCACTGCTGCAGTTGTAGAAGGAGGACTTTTTTTATCTTTTGTTGCTAAAAAGTGAGGAAATAACTGGTAAGTGTTCTGATGCACGTTCTGCAGAAGTTAAAGTTTTTTAAAGGCCACTTCCTCCTTTGTATGTAAGAGGAATAACAGCATGGTATACTGAAACACCTCATGTATGTGTTGTAATTCAGAGGGGCAAAATCAAGCATAAGCAAGCAAGCACTGTCCTGGGCATAGAGTCCAAGTGGAGGAGAAGTATAGTACATGGTCTTGAGCTGCACTTCTGCTTGCCATAGGTGCTCTGGGAGACCCTGAGCAAGCGCTGCTGGAGGGTTCTCTTGCAGCTTCCTAGCTCTCGTTTTGTTGTTCAGGTTGTAAATATTCAGAGAATGTTCTGTCTTGAGATATGTAGAGCAACTAGCGCATAGGGTCTTGCTCTCTGGGCACTGTAGCAACATGAATAATAATCCTTAGCCAAAGAAGCAAGGCTTTTTCCCACTGCAGCATAATGGCACTTTAAATTCCTGTGCTGTCCTTGGTTAGATGGATGCTGACACAGCAACACGAGGAGATGCTGTGGACGTTTTTACGTATGCTATAGGTTTGTGACTGTACTTCCACAGCCATGTAAATCAGAAATAACTGCTGAAAACAGTGTTTTAGGTACTGCCATATAAATGTGGGAGAGAAGAATGGATTTATTTTGAAAAATGAGAACAGCAGCTTGCTTAATGTTTCTTTCCTTGCATTAAAAAAACAGAATGTGTTGATGATGTTTCCTAATGGGCTTTAAAGGCTCAGCCTTAAAATAAGCAGGTTCATGAATAAAAGAATTGTTTCTGGCGAGGAAGAACTGCAAAAAATATATTCTTAATTTATGGCACTGAAAAAGAAATACTCATGTAATAAATGAGTTAGTTTTGCCATTCGATTATGCAGATAACATTACAGCTATTACAATCTTAATCTTGCTTCCAGTTTCTATCTTGTTTCCTTCCTGCATTATATAAATACTGTAGAGTAGTTTCTGGTTGAAAATGGATGCGTACTGTGGAAGGAAAACTTCCCTTTGGTGTATATCATGCTATCTTGCATAATGCAGTTGCTGATCAAAAATGTCAGCCACCAGCACACTGACCTATCATCCTGGTTGTCTGTTCTTATTAGATGATGCGGGTAATGATAGTGAGAGAAGGCTGTTTTGTGTTGACCGATGCCCTTGCAACGTGTTTCAAATACATTTTTATAGTGTTCTGTTATAAAATAAGAGCATTACTTTGTGGTGTTTCCCCAATCTAGTGACTTATTTCTTTTGTATGTTCAAAGGACTTTTATTTATCATCCCTTGATATGAGCAAGCACGTACTGTTGAGGCTGTTTCTGAGTTCAGTATGCTCTGCTGTGGACCCGGGGCAGTCAGCATCAGCTCCTGGGTGGCCCAAGGGAGTGGGCAATGGAGTCTGCACTCATTGTGAAAATCAGATGAATGGGGAATTTGGATCAGCAGATCTCATGGTGATTATAGAAAGCTGTGGCAGAGGAGACAAGGCTCCTAGCTGGGCATTCCCTGGGCTTGTTTTGTTTTAAAATTCTCAGATTGGGTGTTTTTCTGTCAATGTTTTAAGGGAGTATTATTTGTTAGGAGGAGCTGATTACCCCCCTAGTTTTACTACTTTGTAGTTCTAAGTGCATGTAAAGACGGATTATATTTATCTCTACTTATCAGCTGTGGAAATAGCGAGGGAAGGGGAAGCTGATGGCCTCCCTGAGGTGTCACAGCACGTTCAAAGGCAGAATTAAGACAGCCTCTGTTCCCAGGTAGTGCTTTATCCACAAGGCAGCTCATAATTCATCTGGCTGAATACAAGTGATGCCTAGTGTTGTCCGAGGTTCAGTTATTCTTACTACAGAGTAAATAACTCAGTTGAGAGCACTGACTGAAGGTGCTGAAAACTAAAGCAATTTAAGATCAACTTTTTTTTTTTCTCCCAGGAAATACTGTGGGTGCAGGTCTCTCAGAGTGTGCTAGTTCTGTGAAGTAAAACAGAACTGAAGTTGGCACTTAGAACATTAGGCTTTGGTCTTTTAGGTCTGTGAAGTATCACTGGAGAGGCAGTTCCCAGAATCTCTGCAGTGCTGATGCTGGAATGAGGGCTGAGTTCAGGTATCTAAGCCTAAAAGTGCAATTCTCAAAATCAGCACTTTTGTTCTGTGAGCATGTTTTCATCCAGGAGCTGCCACAAGACCCCAGTGCTCTGCCAGCACTTGGTGCTGTGTGGGCCCTGTTTCATGAGTCCTCTGCTAAGCTGCTTGCAGCCTTTGTGTCTCCAAGGGATGCATCTTATGGGATATGTCTTAAGCATATTAATGCATGCTTCAACATCAGTGTGAAATCAGCTCAAAACCATGGTGGGGAAAAAAGCGAGGAATGGAAAGATAGCCATGTTGCTTTGTTTGAGGCTCTGTATTTAGGCTGGTTTCCTTCATATGGAAAACTCAAAATTAATTTCCCCTATCCGCCTGCATCCCCATTCAAATCTGCAGCATTTTTTGCCCAGGGCTAATAGCAACTCTAGGGCTCAGAGTTGCCCTGACTGGTGGGAAGTGTGGGATTGAATCACCCTCAAGCAAAGGAGGAAACTGAAATTGGACATCCTGCATTTTGGCATGTGCTCTAATCAGCATGGCTTTGGTTGAGATACAGCATCCCAGGTCAGCCTCATTTCAGAGGAAAGAATGGCAGAGAAACTGTCAAGGAATGTTGTGTTACAAGATTTTGGTTGCAAATATCCAGGTGATGTCATGAATGTAC